AATCTAAATTAAAAACAGAAACATACACCCAAAACTAATATTCGGACCAAATTTTTTTTCGATCACCCTCTATTCATACATTTTTTACACAGTAGCATGTCAAAGTTGGTCAAAAGTTAAAATTTTCTAAAATTTCAAGAACACAGTCATAGTAAATTATTTTTTTATGCTTAATTACGAATGTTTTGTTCCAAGTTTTAACTGCAATTAATCATACTTAGGTAGCTAATACAAAAAAAATGCAGGAATATCTTCATATTAGTAGCCACAGTGTCCAATCATATGGTGGAGGGTATCAAATTATAAAGAAAGTTAAAAAAATGTAATGTAACTTTTAAACAAAAAAAATTGGATTTTTTTTAGTATTTTTTCCCGTGTAGTTATTAATCTGGCTATAAACCATTAAAGTTTTATCGTCGAATTTTGGGACACGCTGTATATTATACATCATGTTTGTAATATTGACTTAATACCTTTTAAAAATAGTAACTTGGTTAAGTTAATTTATAATCTTTGACATACCTCTGATTTCATTATTCATTAAACTTTCTACTGGTCACCTCTATTCATCTTATTCTTTGATAATAGATAACGGCCATCATCCTAGCGATGGACTATAATTTACTCCGATACTAAAATACACTTTATTGTTATGCACGAATGTCTGTAATCATCTTGTCTACAAATTGTATGATTTAAGTAGTATTGAGTGAAACCCATGATAATACAATTTAATTCTTATTGCAAACTTTCTAGAATGATGTAGCAAAGAATATCTAATCAAACACGGTGTACAATTTGTTGTATAACTTGGTTATAATCATCATCATCATCTGAGACGCTACAGCCGCAGGTGAGCCTGGGCCTGGTCATGTAAATTTCTCCATACCTGTCTACTTTTGGCTTTTTGCGTCCAACTCTTAAAGCCGATATTGTTGAGATAGCGCTCGACCTCATCTAGCAATCTAAGTTTCGGCCTACCACGTGTTGTACGTCTATCCGGAGTACTCCTACAGGCATTAAGATAAAGGTTATAAAGCAAAAGCACATTATGTTTTTTTTAAATAAGGACGCAAACAATTAGCGAGAACACCGAGGTGCTCATCAAAGCCTATGTATATCTGCAATATCAGAGTAACCGCAAATGCGTAATAATGTTTATGTGTGCCTTACTACGAGTATCATACTCAGTAAGTAAATCTTATATATAAAATTGTCGTGTCACAATTTTCGTTCCCATGCTCCTCCGAAACGGCTTGACCGATTCTCATGAAATTTTGTGAGCATATTGAGTAGGTCTGAGAATCGGCCGACATCTATTTTATAATCCCGCGCGGACAAAGTCGCGGGCGACAGCTAGTGTTCTCTAAATTAGAATCTTAGTGCAGAGTTATTATGAGAAACTAAGGAACTGTAAATGTCGCGACTAAAAGAATCTGAGTATGATACTTAAATGATGCTAAAGCCTATTGATATATTTTATTCCTTTTAAAATATCAGAAAAATAATAAAAACAAAATTATTTGTACCAATTTAAAACTACTTTTTATCGGACATGTTAAACGTGACGGAAATTTATTATTTAACAACGGAATGCAGTGTCCGGACCACGGGCCACGGCTTCCGGAACATTTACGAATGTTCCAACCGGAATAACAAACTTTTTGCGCTAATATTTTAACCATTTTCCTAAATACAATCTGTTGATATAAAAAGATAGAACTGAGCTCTAATGTGTTACTGTCCTGTTGGAATTAAAAAAAATAAATCGACTACAAGGAAAGAAAACCTACATCAAATGAAGGAATTAAAAAATGTGTTAAATTAAAAGCAATTAAAATGTCTAATATAAGTAAAATATAACTGTTTTCGTTTTCTCCACTAGATTTAAGAGAACTGACCGTTTTGCATCGCGATAAGCGCCTAATCAGATGCGGTTTTATAGATAAGAGATAATATGTACTATAACTGTGCCGTGTGGTTGTAAAATCTGAATGAATTATTAAATAAACCTTAATTAAAAGTAATACGATATTATGTATTCACTGTTATTTAAGTGGCAGGAAAAGATTAATGATGCGGAAGGAGAAAATACCTTGACCTTACTGCAAATGTATTTTAAGTGTAGACAATCAAATTAATATTAAAATAACTAATTTATTTTAAGTTCTTATTTAGATTAAGATCAGTACAATCAAATTAATAAAAGAAAATAAAATTTAAACATTTTGACAAAATGTACATATAAGTTAGGATTAGATGGCTCTTGGACTATAGTATAAGAGCTAATGTAGTCCTTAAATTATACTCTCTCAAGGGGACAATTTTTATTCTTTCAAACTGTACGTGTTAACAATTACGTTACATAACAAACATAATATCAATTTTTTTAAGAGAAAACGTCGTCAAATCGTATCTGATAAAGTGAATGATATTTTCAACTCTACATATCTTACATATCGCACACTTAAAAAACAAAAGATAATCATTACCTTCAAGATATCTTTCAGTTCGCCTTCCGCTTTCGTCTAAAGTGCGTGTGTATAAATATAGAAATTTTAAGATTTATATTAATGTTTTTAAAGAATTTAAAACTTTTATAGTGCTAATATCGGTGTGTGAGTGAAGGAATTGCAAACAACTACAGTTATTTTGTTTGGTTTTGTATAGATTTAATAATATTACTTGAAGATATTCTTTAGCAGTGTCTTTAGAATGTTGGGTTGGAATAAGAGCTATTTTATTACTAACTTTGAGGGCTTAATTTGCGTTTATTGAACATGTAGATTTATTTATCAACGGTATGGTCTTTATTTCATATTTTTAGTTTATTCAGGCTTAAGTATTTATTATTTTTAACTCTTAAACAAAGGTATAGTGACAATTAGTTTTAATAATTTATGTTTAATTATTTTATTTTGTAATCTATACTCATATTGTTATGAAAATATTTACGATTAAAAAATATAAATTTCAAATTGATAATAATAAAACTTATACTGATTTAATTTCTTATCGAAGAATGAATTTTCTAAAATAACTCATTTATTTTGAGAAATTGTTTTCAATTTTGATTAACTTCCAATGAAAAAAATTTTATAGGAACTTTACCAATGAAGTTAAGTTTTAATGTAAACATTTTTTGACTGTTGTAAAATTTTATTGCTTGTCTAAGATACTGAAATTAATTTTGTATTACGCAAAACTTACTGGCTGATTTTAATATTACGTCATTACGACAATTGTTAGATATACGGATTTTGGAGCGCGACGAACATGAATGAAATGAGAATATTATATAAAACTGTTACATTTACCTCTCACTTCCTTTTAAAAAGTATAATAACATTCAAACTTTATACCCGCTCGAAGTCTAAACTAGTAAATGCAATAGGCCTAATGGATTGTATGTAAGAATGTTATCAGACCCTGAGTTGAGTCAGTCATTTCACTCTTCTATATATACACTAGGTGTTGCCCGCGACTCCGTCCGTGCGAGATTAAACAACTAGATTATAACCGATTCTAAGACTTATTAAATATGCATTTAAAATTTCATTAAAATCGGTCAAGCCGTTTCGGAGTATGGTAACTAACATTGTGATACGACAATTTTATATGTAAAAAAACAGGGGAGGTTATGTAGAAGCGTGTTACGCTTGAAAACAGATGGGAATTGTTAGTAGCAATTGTTTTAATAAAAAACTTATCAAGTTCATTAATTGTGTGAAGGTTACGGTAAACAATGAAGATTAATTATACACAATACAATCTTGTCCCAGATTCTAAGATATAAAAGATATGAGAAATAAAGACTAGTTGTACTTAATGATCTATGAGCGAGTTCAAAAAATACGATTATAGCATAAACAGAAAACTTTTAATGCATAAATATATCATCATGCATCTTATAATAAAGCTAATAGAGAGAAATTCAATGTTTTCCTTTTGTAACAAACTTCGTTATTGTTCTTCATCATCATCAGCTCACAATACGTCCCAACTGAGGGGCTCAGAGCCTACCTCAAGCTAGAAATGACTAGGCCATAGTCAACCATGCTGGCCAAGCGCGGATTGCATCACGATGTTTTCCTTCACCGTAAGAACATTGGATAAATCTTTAGAAATCATATTTGTTTGGAAACGAAGAAAATATTTACATTAATGATTAAAGTTATCGAGTTAAAATTTCATTTTATTGCTATTGACAATGCTAAAGCCATGTGATTGAAAACATTTCCTTTCGATGATCAGTCACTAAACGACGTTATCTTAACATTTAGATAGTCTCAAGTGTTCGAACGTCCTTCGCATCGGAAACACATATTACTTTGAAACAAAAATCGAGATATCGATACATTTGTTCTTTAGTCGTAATCGACTAACCTGTTTGACATGACAAGGTAAAGGGCGCGGCTTAAGTCACATCGTTACGTATTCGTTTGTTTGTTTTTTTAATGTATTAAACGTATAGAGACATTCTGTAAAACATAAGAATTAAAATTAAATTCAGCAGTTAATTTGGAATATCTCATGGAAGACAAGAAATTAACAGTTTTAATACCTATAAATATCACACAAAACAATTGCTAGTGATGATAATAAAATACTAAATGTGTACAATATGGTTCAAAAAGTACAGCAAAAGTTTAATATTAGGCATCTACAAAAGTTAGGACTCTTGAAAAGAATAACAATTTAATCGGGATTTGATTTTAATATCGATCTTTGCCCTTGAAATACTAAACCAAGAATTTAGGTTCCAGAAAGTACTACGTCTCCCAAAAGACTTCCATATTACTGATATAAGTGCGAATGTTTAGATGGATGGATGGATATTTGAAGGTATCTCCAGAACGGATCACACTAAAATTTGGCATAGATGTAGATCATAGTCTGGAAGAACACATAGGCTAAATTAAGTTTTTTTTAGTTCCGCGCGGACTGAGTCGCGTACGACAGCTAGAAGTAAAATTAAAATTGAGATCTGCTGCTCTAAAAAATATTTTAACCGAATACACACAAAAGTTCTCAGACAGAATTTTACGAATTTTTCGAGACCGCGGTGACCGTGAGAAAATATGTGTTCATTTTATCTTAAGATAATAACATTCGTATGAAATTCTTTATGAAATCTAGCGGAGTATTAAAAAAAATCAAAGGTCGGGATCTCATAACCTTTGTATTGTTATACGCAAAGAAAGCTTCTGCTCAATTTTAATTCACCTTCACATATTAAAATTCTAGTTAGAACTAACTTACTCTATTACAAATGCAATATAGAATCCTTTTGTGGTAGAGGTACCGCGCGTTCGAACGAAGCGATTCGAAGCATCGTTCCTTGTGCATACCGCAAAGGATTGGAACAAGTTGCGGGCCTCTGTTTTTCTGTCCAAATATGATATTGGGACCTTCAAAAGTAGAGTGAATAGGCACTTACTAAGCTAGCGCGTACCATCTTTCGACCAAATCTCCACTTCACCAGGTGGGATCGTTGTCAAGCGCTAGCTTATAAAACATAAAAAATATACAACTATATTCTGCATTAAAATATCGTCGTCCCTGTCATTGTCTTTAACAAAACAGAGATAACAATATGTTTTTGAATTAGATCTCAGAATCCATATATAATTTCTTTGATAAATTATTTTGGCATCTGGTTATTGTCCAAGCCTTATACCATAAAAAATTAAAAAAAAACAACTTGAAAGTCGTATAAACAAACGCTAAAGATAATCAAAGCGGTCAGACTTTTCCCGCTGATTATTTTATATTAATTTTGTGATTCATTGATGAATTTTATCGCGGATATCGTAACGTCTATACAAAATACTCTAAGATAAGATTAGTCAGTTTACAGCTTTGCTAATGAAAATGTGCTCTCTCAATTTTTTGCTCGTTTAAAAAGTTGGTAAGTTTATAACTTGCCAGTAATTTAATTAGTAGTATGTTCACTCTGTAATTTTTTTCTAGTTACTAACAATAGGTATTAAAAACTAGTTTTAGGTTATGTTTTGATATAGTTCGTTTAATTGGTTTTGAACCATTTTTCTTCTACTGTAGTGTTTTATTAAAAACCTGTGTTTATATGTTATTTTATTGGCTAACGATATTAAAACAAACCTGTAACTCGGATGACTACGAGATATAATTCGAAATGTAGTGAAATGGTTTTTTTAATAAATGATGTTTGCAGTTTCTTTCAAAAACACCATAATTAATAATTACTTAAGCAACCGATATTAGCACGTATTCTTGCTCAACATAATACCATACGAAATTATTTTGAATAGGTACTTAACAGAGGTTAAGCAATAGATATGGCGGTGTCGAAGTAACGGATGTGTGCAGCAAAATGTCTGATAGTATCGAAAAGTTGTGTAAAGAGTACGACGAAAATGTTGCCGAGCCCCGCTCGAGAAGCGTCGGTCAGTATTAATACACGTCCACAATAACATGATACGTGATCCCGATGACGTCATAGTAACTTGTTCATCGAACATATAACTCTGTTGTTCGCTGTAGAAACTAGAAGTAGTGAAGTGAGTTGAAGTGTATGTTAATTTCAATCAAGTTATTATGGAAGGGAAGAGGAAATATCCTCTTTCTGTGCGTCCCTTAATCCGTTGATTAAAAGTAGGTAACGCATCGGCAACTGCGGATGTTTCTGGGCAGCGGTCGCTTTTCCGACGAATTCAGATGGCGGCTTGCTCGTTTGCCACAGTATAAAATAAAAAAAATGAACGCGTGACATATACTGTCACCGTGGCAACCTTAACCCTTTGACGGCCAACATAACAAGAATGATATTTTCTATTGCAGGGTTGTTCACTATCCCCGAATACCCGGAGTACGAGGCGCGCGGCATGTGGTCAGCGGCACTAGACGCGATACTCACCACGCTGCGGTATCTAGCGCCCGCCACATTATTGACGCTCCTCTGGGGTCAGCAGAGCTTCATATTCAAGATACTTAAATACATCGACTCGGCTTTCAGATCTCGTAAGTAATCATATTATATTCTAACACTTTCAGTGCCAATAAAATTTTCACATACTAAAATCAACTTGCTGTCCGGGTAACAGTGAACGTGTTAACAAAAGGGAGACCTCAAATCTACTTATTAGACTTTTGCAGGCCTTGTCATGTAGTCATAAAATCATAACACTACTTTAGACAAATATTTAAGAGTACCTAGCAGTACCTGACCAAAAGAGTCGTAATAAACATATTATATGAACATTTAAATTGATATATTTTCATTGCAAACTATGTACAGTATTTTCAAAATATTGACTTATTTATAGTACTAAAGTACACTCATAATATGACCCGTTGATTAACATTCGCAAACTAATTGCGTCGTTGCAACACTACGTTGACAAAAAGATACTGTTATCAGCATTAGATCATCTTTTTTAATCCTTTTTTCCTTGGATTTTTCTTAGAGGCCAATGATTCATGGCCGCACTAAAAGTTTCAGTTTCAGTGATTTAATCCACGCAGAATTAAGAACCTTAATAACCTTTAACAATCTTTTCTATCTGTCCCAAATTTCATCGAGATCCATGCAGCCGTTCTGGACATAACCTATAACAAACATCCATACGTTCGCATTTATATTAGTAAGATTGAAATTTACCAAACGAATATGCGATATTCTTAAAATTACTGAAGCAAGATTCTTAATATTTACCTACTTAGCATAATGTACTAACTGGCGTACTTTTATTACGACCTTCAAACTCAAGAAACGAGTAAAGTTTAAATCTTTGACTTACATCATCTTTGTAATCCTCCTGATTAAGAATTTTATTAGACTGTCTCGCTTTATAGAGCCGTTAATCTAGACTGCTATTTCACGCGTCACCAGTTTTTCCATACAGATTTTTATAACTTTCTTTTTCTTGCAAAAGTTAACTATTTTCCTAGCTGCAAATTTTGACTATCTGTTATTGTAAAAGAAACATGGAACAGTTTATATTTTTAGGATAAAAATTCTGTGACTATAGCTTTACTGACTATATGTGTAGTCAAACGTTTAAGGGCCATAGTTTACAATAAGGTCTAATCCTCTTTATCTATATTCTTTCCAGTGTTATTCTCGAATGAAGAACAGAAGCAGGCGGTATTGCAATGGGTGTCAGAGCACGGGTCGGTGCGTGTGGACGAGCTAGGCACGGTGTGGCGGCACGGCTGGCTGCTCTGCGGCGTGTTAGAATCCGCGTTGCCCGGCGCCTGCGCAGGACATCCACCGACACAGCTCTCTCTGAAGCACGCTCAAGCAATTGCTGCGCAGTACCTTGGAGTTGAACCGGTAAGATATATATATAATCATTTGAGCATTTTTACTGGCTTGGTCAGTGATTTTAGACCTTAAATAGCCCATTAAACTAATTCATTGTATAAAAAAGTAATTGCAGTCGATTAACTGGTTTCTGTTTATCTTACAGGTATTTTCTCGCCATGAGCTGGAATCAAATGATAAGTTAAGCAAACATCAAGAATGGAGACTGATAACTTACATAGATTCTGTTCGTGAAGCTATAATGAAAGTCGCACCAGCCGTTGTAAAATCCAATTATCAGAAACCTTCTAAAGATACAACTCAATTTACCCTTGACTACATAGCAAGAGGTTCGGGTCTTTCAGCTGCTCAAATAAATCATCCGATGTACTTTACAATTTATCCAACATCCCAACAGTCTTTAGACCCAGGAGAAATAACAATAGTAATTAACGGGCCGAATGATACGTGTGGAGTGAGAATATTGCCACCTATTTTGGGTAAGGCACAACTAATAAGACAGCAATTGCTTGGTATGAGATCCCAGTCAGGCTTTACAGAAAATAAACTGCCTTTAGCCCACGGAGCAACTTATTTAAGAAATTATGGAAAAAATGACATGACTAAAACATTTTATATACCAAAAACAAATTATGACATTGATATTGAAGTGGTATCTTCCCAAGATCACGTTAAAATAGGTTATGTGGCCAAGTTAGAAGGGAAACATGAAATTTTTATCACCAGTAAAGGCCATAATATTGTGGGATCACCATACACTGTAACGGCTACTAAAAATATTTTAAACATACTGGAAAAAGATAGTTTTTCTCTCGAAGATGGGGAAGAAATAGATATAGTAGATGTTAAATCAGACAGAAAAGTTGTAGTAAGAATTGTTGATTTTGTTACTGAAAAAATGTTGCTAAAAGATGATGGAGTCTTAGAAAAAATCTCCGAAGACGAAGCCAAATATTTAATGGAGAAAGATACTGAAGTAGAAAAACATTTATCACCAAGTACCCAAACCGATAGCATTATTCCTACCATAAAATTTGACGATGCTGGAATAAAATCAACAAAATTCAATGCAGCAGCTAATAAAGTTATAAAAATAAATAAAGTGTGCAAATTATTTAATGACATTGTTAAAGAAAAAGAAACTGTTTTCGTTAAAGACGATAATCTACAATCAAAAAATCAACAGGACATTCCAGACGTGGTAAACTCAACACTTGGTGAAGCTACTATTAATGCGTTTCTATTATCAAACAAGCGCGACAAAGTAATTGTTCCTGAGAATATTTCGGTATCAATTTTAACAGAGAAAGTTAGCAACGCTGATGATTCATTTCTTAGTGCTCCTCCCGACAAAGACGATATCAATTTCGCCGAGTTAAAAATATTACATGATGTCCCATTTGATAGTGAAAATGAATCCAATGATGTAAATAAATCAAGCAATCCATTTTTAAATGAATCTATTGCTCATGACGATAAAATTGGCAAACTCTTGGGTACATTTGTAACTTCAGAATTTGAAGCAAATAAGAACCAAAACGAAGAAACACAGGATGCTCCAATAAAAATAATTCTTGAATATTCAAATGAAACGCCCTTAATAAATGAAACAAATCCTTTTATTAACAATGATATTGTAGTAATAGATCGGCCTAAATCTCCGATATTCAAAGACATTGCAAGCGATTCTGACTTTTTTGATCTTCACAGTGATCAGTATGAAAATTCAAGTGAGAATGAATTTGTTAATCCTTTCTTCGCACACCAACATCTACCTACTGGCAATGATAAAGAAAACTTACCCGTAGCCGATTTCATCATTGGTGCTCCCGTATCTTTACCTCCTGAAATAAAGTCATTATCTCAAGAAACAACCATCGACTCATTGGATGGATCAAATAAAGTAAATAATAAAAGAGAAGTATGCGTCGAAGAAAATCACAGAACATCGGAAATCTTTTGTTCTACTTTTGAAACAAATTTCAACACTACAAAGGACGAATATTTAAACATTAATTCTAATGCAACCGATACGATGAATAATGATAATCTATCGCCGAAAAAAGAAATGAGGGATTCAGCATATGTAAGCATTGATGAAAATAATACTTTACCAGATAGTAATAATAATGACAATACCGTCTCAAAAGGCTCTGAAACTAAGCAAAAACTTTTAAATGACTACATTTTGTCTAATATGGGTCCAGCCGAGCGAGAAATATGGGAAAATTGTACAGAATTACAACAAAGTGAAGCAAACAAATTGCAAGAAGAGATAATGAAAGCAAACAGAAGGGATTTGAAAAAGTCAAACTTTACACCAATTGTTGAAGAAAATGATAAAATCATTTCTACAGGCATGAAGGGTTTAAAATCAGAAAACGAAACACACACTGAAACTGATCCAGTAACACTAGCCTTTGCTGAAATAAATCTTCTCTATAATGATTACTTCCCAAGTTCTGAAAACAGTTCTACAATAAACGAAGACCATAAAAATATTGACAGAGAAGTTGACCAAATGAGTGAATACCAATATGTCAAATCTGCGTCTGAATACGAATCAGATGTGATGAGACATGATAAACAATCAGAAGGTGAGATTTCTGAGATTCAGGCAAACGTAACTGAATCAGTTTCAGTAAGTCAAACCCTTCGTGTGGACGAAAGCATAAATAACAACACATTCCAGTCACAAAATGACGTTTCTGTTAAATTTGGTGATGTTACATATTCTAACATTGTTCTTGAAAAAAAGAAATACTGGGATGAAAAAATACGACAAATCGAAGCAAAAGAAGAAGAATCACGGAAATTACAAAGAAAGAGACGACCTTCTGTGAAACAGTTAAGGCATAACGATTCACTTAGCAAACGAAAAGGAAAACAGATTATCAAGAAATACCTTAGTACAAGCGATAAACAAACTAAAGAGACAGAAAATCAAGCGCAAGTCGTAAATCTTGAGAACCAATCACAAAATAATGAATATGACAATGAAGTTAATGTAAGAAGAGTTAAAAATTGGAAAACTTTTTGGGATAGCAAATTAGAAGATGAAAACAAGGAAACAAATCATCCCCATTCTAGGATTGACTCTTCTTTGTCTGATGAAGTATTTAATGCAGTAACAATCGACAATGAGAAAGAAACAAAATTGGATTCGAAAACACAAATAAACACTTCAAATTCAAGTTCACCGGTGAAACAAGAAATACCAGAAGAAGTTTTTAAAGCATTTGAAACAAGTCCTAAAAGGTTTTTCGGTACTTCTCGAAAACAGATTCTCAATAAAATTGATAGTTCCTTAGGAAAACCAAGTGCAGTTAAGGAACCTTCTATAGACAATAATGAAACGACTTGTGAGAGCGGTTTAGTATCAAGTCGCATTTCTCTGTTCCATACCATATCTCAAACGGAAGAAATATCATGGACACAACGAAAAAGTCAATCAATGCACAACATATATCACCGAAAAGACAGCGACTCTGAAGTATTAAAACCAACACACAAGATAGAAAGTGAAGAAAAATTAGATGCACTCCAACCCACCAAAGAAGAAAATTTGAATGAAAGAAAACAAATTGTTAAAAATATAACCCTTAAGGAGAAAAGAGCTCGAGTTGCTGACAAATTTTATACTAAAAGCTTTGACGAAAGTAGTTATCATAAATCAATAGAAGAAGATTTCTCAGATCACGATTCCTACGTGAAAAAAACTATTAAAACTATGAATAGTTCACTTCCTTACAGTTCAAGTAATGATTCTAATAATACTCATAAAATGTCCAGTAGTAAATCAGAAATGGATATATTCAATAAACTATCAAATAAATCAATCGATGAAGATTTTGATAAATATAAATCATATGATGAGTTGCCAAAAGTAAGTGTTAAAAACTTTATATCCTTGTATGAAGACGTTACGAAAACTGCAGAAGCAAGTTCGACAAGATTAAATTATAGTAAAAGTCCTGGAAGTTTTGATAAACCTAGCAAGGTTGCGTGCTTAATTTCAGGTTAGTATAAAATTTCTGTTATCTTTGTATATGTTGTTGAATGTTGCATCGGGATGCATTTCTCTAATTATTTTTTAATTTATTACAGAAACAACTGCAACAAACGAACCAATCATCACTTCAACACCAATTCCTAAAAATATTACTAAGGAAGTTTCCAGGGTTCATATAAATTTTACGGAATCTGCTATAAATCACGTCACAAAAGATTCTAAGTTTACTAATGAATTTAATGGAAGTCCTATTCAAGACATAGATAAGAAATCAACATATTTTAATTTACCAGACATCGATTTAGAAATTGTGGAAAATTCTTCAGATAAGTCAAATGAAATTTCTCCAGAAAAAGAAATCGAAAACACTTCTACTGATTATAAATCTCGCTTTAAATTAGCAAAACAATATTTTCAATCACTCGAAGAACTTAGAGAAGTGAAAAAGCCGAAAAAATTAAACGAATGCGAATTACTTTTGTATAATAAGTCAAACGAATCTCTTATCGATAACGAACAGAAACCAAACGAAAAAAAGAAGATTAAATCACATACGATGCCGTCGTCAGAAATTTCTAAATTTTGGAATGAGCTACAAGAAGAAAATAACGAAAGCAAAGATAATAAATTCATGAAGATATCAGAAAAGTTTCACGTTGAGGATTTCTTCACGGACGTAATGGAGGGAAGGTTAAGCAGACAAGGTAGTTTGAGGGGGATTCCCCACAAGAAAGCAGTATTAGAAGCATTCAGATCGATGGAAAACATTTCTGATAGTAAATTAAGTCCTTATGAGCTTGCCGTGTCTCAATTTAATGATATTGAAGACCCAAGGAAAAAAAATGCACAGACATATCTTAACGAATATCCATACTTACCTACTACTGATCCGTCCAAATCTCATTCCAGATTAGATGTACATGCATCTGGCTTAATACCGTTTAAAGAATTAAAAAGGGTACGAAGAAATAGTGTACCAGATTTAAGGTTAAATCCATCTTTTACTGTCGATTTGTAAACAATTATTTAATAAAAAAAAATCAATCCATAATATCTTCTTCTTGTCCATTTTTCTATTTCTCTTCTTGATCTTTCTTGAACTAGAATTTAATGTTTTATGACTATTGTAATTATTTTTAAGCTTTTAATTTTATTTTTAATATTGACGCAATATGTAAAGTTTAATAAGTGACTAAAATTTGGTAATTTTTTCGTTTTATATTTTTTGTTAAGTTTTTTTTGTACAATTGTAAAGATGTTGAATCTAATAACTATAATTTAAGTATATAAGAATAATTATTTATTTTCAAATAAACTATTTAATTTAATTATTCCGGTGAATTATTTAAAAACCTACCATTAAATAGTTTTCTATCCAAGATTGTCATTCATAATAAAAATAAAATTTTGACTACTTTAAAATCATAATAAAAATCATAATTTTTTTCTCGATCAGACAAAAAAAGAAACCATAAATATGAAACTATATTTTATTTTATTTACATTTACAATAATAAAAAACTTATGCTAACGCAGAACATACATGGCTTTCTGAGTCCAAAATCTCCGTTAAAAACTTTATGTTCTCCATTTTGTCAAAGATAATGACAGCAATGACTAAGTTTTATAAAGAGATTTTGGTGTCAGAAACCCACAGTAATCAGTCATAGGATGATTATTCACACAATAAATTTTGTTTTTTAAATTATTAAGATTGCAAACTATTATGAAATATCAGTTAAATTTGCATCAAGAATTTAATTATTATATTCATACATCATCAGCTCACTATGTGTACGTCCCCACCGAGGGGCTCGGAGCCTTCCCTAAGTTATGGGTGATTAGACCATAGTTAACCACACTGGCCAGGTGTGGGTTGGTTGACTTCACACATATCTTTGAATTACTTCTCAGATATGTGCAGCATTAAGATGTTTTCCTTCACCGTAAGAACGTCAGATAAATGTACATATGTCAATCGGAAATCAAAAAACACATTAGTACATTCGATTCGAACTCAGTACCTGCAGATTGCAAGTCAAGTGCTTGGCCACTGAGCTACCGACGCTCCACACATGTTTGTAATTATTATTACAAACATCGAAATTGGAAAAACATATTGTCTATGTTCAATCACATTTTTTTGACAACTCTTTGGATACAAGTATCAATTAGTTTAGAGATATCTTGTTTTTTTAATCTATTATTAAACGAATTTATTAATAAAGCTATTATTATTATACATTATGCTGCTTATTACTGGGTTTCTTTTGGTTGAGGTCTTCTAAAGTTTCAAAGGGACTAAGTAAGTGTTTGTTCAATTCGTCTACACCTTATTTTATCACATAACTATGTCACTACACCATAGCACAGTACACTGGTCACTTTATATGTATTTGAACGTAATTGGAAGTGGAGTTAGCTCGTCTCCAGTCGAGCCAGGCCTTCACTTGTGGGTCTGAACGGTTACCACGCGCCTCCAATTGTTGGTAATATGCTTCCCTGATGATACGGAATGCATCCACACTTCTGTATGGCAGTTTTGTGATTGGATCAATGTAGCGGGCTGGTCTCCTGAAAAGATTTAATTTTATTAGGACATAGAGGACATCGACTTACTAATATTATAAATGCAAATGTTTGGATGGATGGATATTGTGGAAATTTGGCATAGACATAGAACATAGTGTGGAAGAACACATAAGCTACAATTTAAGTTTTTACTATTTCCGAGCGGACGGAGACGCGGGCGCAACTTAGTTTGTTTATATTTAAGAAATACAACACTAGTAAGTTTACTTAATGATCCAAAGTAATAAGACAAAGTATTTGATTAGTTAATTTTATTAGTAAAAAATACTCAAAATGTATGGAAAACCATAGGAATATGTACAAATCATAGGCATAACAAAATGGATAGAAATAACTTACTTTGTGACAGCGCATAATAACTCTCGTCGTTTCTTAGGTATTGAAGTTGGGAAGCACGATTTAAATGCTTTATTTCTTATGTCGTTTTCAAACGATATTAGTGTTCTTTCATAAAACTTGCAATTAGCATTCTTGGGTTTGCTCTGTTTTTCATTTTTCCTGTAATTACATATTATTAATAATATACACAAAATTTAAAATTACTCGGAAACGGCTCAAAAAATCTTGATTAAACTTGGCACAGATGTAGAACATAGTCTGGTAGAACACATAGGTTAATTATTTAGGTTTTTTTTAATTCAGCGCGGTGAGAGTCAGGGTCGACAGCTAGTCATAATTATTTAATCGTAATTATGTTTATTCTACATGCAATTATTTAAATAAAAACTAACAAATTATTCTTTCTTTCTTAGTAACTCAACTCGTAATAATTATAAAATAAGCTTACAATTTAACATCTTCAATTTTAATTTCTTCATCAGGACCAACAACATCCATCTTCGTTCTCGTATCTCTTTCTAATTTTATATCACTCTCTTCAACTATTGGTTTCTCTTCAGTCACTGGATTTTCATCAGTATTTTCTACCGTTGATTCTAGGTACGATAAAAAAAAACACATCAGAACACAATACATCTCATCATCAGCTCAGTACACATCCCCACTCAGGGGCTCAGAGCATACTCCAAGTTAGAGGTGACTAGGCCATAGTCAACTACACTGGCACACTGCGGGTTGACTTTATACATATATTTGAATTTCTTTTCAGATATGTACAGGTTACATCATATTTTCCTTCACCGTAAGAACATTGGATGTAAATTGGATTCGAACCCAGTACCTGGAGATTGCAAGTCAAGTGCTTAACCCCCGAGCCACCAATGCTCTATTCATGTAGACCAGTGGTTACCAAACTTATTTTGTCTACTGCCCACTTTGAGAATAAATATTTTTTTAGCGCCCTCATATTTTCACATATTTAAAAACCACTATAACTTCAAATTAAATTAATTAATTATTGTGACCTATATATGTATATTAACGGAGAATTCTAAAGGAAACTTTTACTATAACCCGCTTGTGACCTGCAGCGCCCACAAGGGGGCGTTATCGCCCACTTTGGGAAGGACTGATGTAGGTCATGTCTATTACCTTTTTCAGTCTTAATCATATCCTCATCTTTACTATCATCCAGTGACGTAGTATTCTGTATCTCTTCAGGTATGTTTCCAATTTCTGATACTAATGGTTCGGGAACTGCAAATGAATGATATCTGTAAATGAGAATTAATATTTATTTAATAGATTTATCAAAATATGTTCTCAATTTTACTATATAATATAAATGTTAAAGTTTAGATGGATGGATGGATGTTTGTATGAATGTATCACCAGAAAGGCTGCCTGGATCTTACTAAAATTTGGCATAGATATAGAACATAGTCTGCTAATGAATTTGTTTTAATCCCACTCGAATGGAGTTGCGGCTATTTGGACAGATTTTTATATCTTTCTAATATTATAAATGTGAATGTTTAGATGCATGGATGGATGTTTGTGCAATCTGAAGTGCTGCATGGATCTCGCTGTAATTTGGCATAGATGTAGTAACCGGTATCAGAGAACACATAGGCTTCTTTTTTAATTCTACACGGACGGAGTCTCGGACTGCGGGTTTATATTGAATATAAGAAAGAGGGCACATGTTTTAGTACACATATTTCTATTGTGGAAACTAATAGTATTTTGAGAGGTTACCTTATTACAGGTCCAGTAATAGTTTTCTTGGTGGGACGCACTTTCTTCCTTTCTAATTCATTTTGTTCAAATCTCTCTAGAAATATATAAAAAGAACATGTGTTAAAAATTAATAGTATGATTTAATAAATTCCAGCTTGATACCTTCACATGTTTTAAGTAAAAGAGTCTTGACAGACAGACGGACAACAAAGTGATCCTATAAGGGTTCCATTTATTTCACATGAGGTACGGGACCCTAAAAATTGTAATTTGATATTTTTTCTTTCATGGTTCATATGTAAAATAATTTACATAGAAATTTACTTATATTAAAGAATATTGTTATGGGTCAATATATTGTTTATAAAATAAAAAACCAAAACTATCTTAAAATTACCTAAACTTTTAAGATTTTCTTTTTCTGTAATAAGAGCTTCTTCTAGTAATTCTTCCTGTGTCAGAACTCTCTCCTCTACTTTTTTGGGCTTCTTCTTTTTTAACTCCGATCTTATTTTGATTCTTTGTTGAGTTTCCGCAGATTTAACTGCTGTACTCTGTCTTATTGATTTTCGTTCTGAAAATAGTTTATGGATATACAAAAAATCATAGAAATAGAGTTAATTGGATTATAGAGCAGGACTTGGTTATTTCCCATCTTGTTGATTGAATTTGTACTATGATAAGATGGAAAAAACCCCTGGTTTATGCATATATAGTAATATTATATACTAATAAAGCTAAAAATAATTGTTCTTTTATCATATCTTTACATTTCATATTTTATTTATGGATACATACCTATTGATGGATCGATTATAGATTTATCAACTTTTTCCACTGGCACTGTCGTTGTTTCTTCTTTAATTTTGTGTTCTTTTGGTTTCTTTACAACTCTTTTTGTTTTCTCTGCTACACCTTTACGTTTTCTATTTGGATCCTATAACATTTTCATCATTATTTTTACATTTAAAACATAAGATTAACATCATGTAGGGTTATATTCAAGCTGCTTCATTATATAAAAAAAAAAATCATTAGTAATAAAAATTGGTGAATCTAGGTTATTAGATATTTCTCTAAGCCAAGTACTTAAATTTGGTAAATACTAGCCTTGTATGCTTTTGCGTTAACTTTTCTTTTCTGTTTTTCTTCATCATCATGATCAGAAGTTGGCTCGTCATTTTCATCAATATCAAAATCTGAATCCACAACATCTTCCGTTTCTTTTTCTTCACTAAAAAGATAAAAAAAGATGATCTATTATGCCGTTAAGAAGTATTTTCAGCGAATTTCTCGGTATCTATAATGACAAACAAAACAAATCGAAATGTGTGGCTTGCACTCGGGTATTTTTTTTTTATAGTATTGTAAAATTACAAAGATACTTTACTATTAAATTAATCGTTAGCAATTAATGAATGATACAAATAAATTTATTACATACACATAGTCGTTGTCTTCTTCAGCTTCTTGAAAACCCCCGTAAGTTGTTTTATAGAATTCGTCTTCCTCTTCTTCGTCAAGCAACTTTGCCATTCGATTGCCAGCGTTGGAGCGCTTTTCTCTTTGAGCCATGTTTAACTAATGTATTTGGTCACGACAATTAATTGATAATAAGTAACCGCACAGTGTATTTTTATTTAAAATGCTTTACTTTGTGAACAAAACAACTATAGGCTGAACAAGCTCTCCGTAAAATTCAATGACATTGACATAAGATGTAGAAATCTGACATCTGTCAGTGACGCTGGATGACGTTTACTTTTAAAGGCAAAGGCAATGAGCATTCTGCCACGTTTGTGGCAATTTTTTTTTAATATTCTTATAAATTATTTTTGTAAAAATTTGCAGCAAAAAAGATATTTTAATTTCTATATAAATAAATTTTTACTCTCTGCGAATATTGACAAACGTCTTTCTATACATAATTTGCTTTTCCATGAGCACATTATAGGCCGCCACGCGTATTGCTCATGAACACTTTGATATTACATCATTTATTTATTTGTTATTTCTCGGCCTCGCCACTCATTGTCAACGTGAACAAGATTATTCAATTATTCTTGGAGATTAGTCATTTCATTTTGTTCTGCATTTATTTATCTATTTGCCGCCACAAGAATACTGGCAACAACTCTATAGTTTTAAAGACCATAGTAATAAAACAACATATTATTTTGTGCGATTTATTTAATCTTTAACAGTTATTATAAGTTATTTACTTCAGTCGTCTTAAATTGTTATTGAGAAATCTGTCCCTTCACATAGATGGCACGAGTTTGTCTAATACATGTCGTTTAACAAGTTTCCATACATTTTACACTTGGATACAATTGATATTTTGATGTATTACTGAACTGGGGACAGGTAAATTTTACATTTTAATAGGTAGACATTACATACTATTGTTCAATTATAAATTAATAGGTAACTATTTATTGCAATTTGTAAATTTTCTAGTCCATGTGACTTTATATTTTATATGATGAAACTGGTATTTAATATTTTTTATTATTTTTTTAAACTAACACGTTAAAACAACAAAGTATCAAGACAAAAAAAATAAGTACATTTATTAAAAAAAAAACTTACTTAAAAAATAAAATCAAGAACAATAATTAATTTTACGCATTTATATATTACTATTTTTTTTTTAATATTTATATTAATAAATAATCAAGAGATTACACACATTACACTATTATGGAATGGTCTGGGTGAGGTTATTAAATTTTTTATGATGAATAACATTTAAAAATATTCTTCGTTACATATATAATATTATTAATTATAATATATAATAATAATAATAAATATAAGATAGACTTTTCAAACGCTGATCTGTACATGAAGAGCGCTATTAAAAAAAAATTCAAAAAAAATTTTTTTAGTCTGCGAGACTCAAAACATTTTTATAAATTTAAAAAATCTCATCTATATAATAAATAATTTAAGCTTATCTATTTTGAAATAAATCATTCGTATTTTTAACAAATAACATTAAATTGTGATTTGATATAAACTTCTAAATATGAAAATTACATTTGTTAAACAAATATCACTGATGATGATTTTTTTTATATTATAATACAAACTTTCATTTATAAATGGTATTTAATACAAACTAATTAATTTGGAATGATCATTTAATTAAATTAATATATTTTAAACTCTCAATCAATAAAAAAACAAGTGCAATGTAAATAAATACCTTTAAATATCTTAATATATATTTAGATATAGTGCTACCTTCACACTGTTACACATTTCAAAAAATCTATTCTAAATATTTAAATCCCAAGAATTTAATTACCTACATTTCATAACTTTATCTGTGGTAGGAAAAGTTGAAAAAATCAACTAAAACTTTTTATAAAACATATTGAAAAAAAAAATCTTTAATTTTTTTATGCGTCAAACTATCAATATTTTCTTTTTGTTTCATTATTTGAAATGTGTTAAATGTAAACCTGGTTTGATTTTATTATTAAAAATGGAAAAAAAAATCGGTATTTGATTTTTGAGCAAATATACATCTAGTAATATGTCAATTGCAAATGACAATTATCATTAGTAATGTGAAAATTAAAATTCATTTAAATCTTATCCTAAATATTACATTTATTAAAAGAGTGATAATTATAGAATCGAATTTGACTACTCATATTTAATCTGTACAGGATTAGCCATAGAGCATGCAAGTCAATACAGCTTAAAAAATTGTCCCAAGAGGACTACATGGAAATTTTAAAAATATTGAGATTATAAAATTATTAAAAAACGTGCGTTCATATTTGATCAAAGATTAAAACTTAATAAATTTTATTGTCTGTATGCATAATCATGATTTTGTGGTAAAAAAAACAAAAAGAAAAAAAATCAATTGCTTAAGTATCATCGCTTCGATGCTATTAATATGAGAGGTAGGGAAAATACTGCTCGAATTTATTATTTTGTAGTATGCAAGCAAAACATAGATATTAAAAAAAAATCCCACGAAGGTCATATTAGCAACTAAAAACGCGTAACGTATTAAATAATTTCCAAGTTAAATTATTTTTTGTATGGCAAAAATATGCCAAATATAAATGATGAAACATTTTATAATCTAGATAAAGGAAAACACTACAATGTCCTTCAACCCTGTGGACAATATATTACAATAAATCCTTGTCCTAACAAGAAGCACAGATGTATAAAAGATTGTTCTATGGTTACCACTTTTTTCTATTCGTCAAACATAAACATCGGTTTTGATTTTATAAAGATGTTCTCTCTCTCTCTCTCTCAAACACATAATACATCTCTTCTCTCTTTCGTGTAACGAAAAACGCATACAAGTTACGTGACCTTGAAATTTCGTTCCCGATTGTCATCATATTTCCTAAACTAAAAGCTTTATTTTAAAAAGTTTATATATGTTGTTGTTTAAAAAGATATAAAGAGTACACAAATTTGGTTTACACGATTACGTTGACCATTCTCTGAACTTTTTAATACGGTTAACTTCATTGAGTTTAAATATCAAAAACAGAAAAGGATAGGAGTAAGAATCAATATTTTTATTAATAATTCTTAAGGGCATCTATGCTTCTTTGGTTGTAAATCGGATCTTATACTTAATTATAATAGAAGAAATCTTAAATTTTATTTATAGAAGTAAACAATGAACTACGGTACATTACTAGTGAATTACTTTTATATTTTTTTAAATTATCTACTGTATATATGTACAAGATTTCAAAAATCTCAAAGGATACGACCGGTACGAGATGTTAGTGTCCGTTTGACTCACAAAGATTATTTGGCACAGTTTATATTGAGCGATCTTGTACCAAATAATTAACTAAATAATACAGGGTTACTTTTCAAAAGCAATTAATTCAAAAACCTAATCACAAATAATAACAGATAATACATTCATCAAAAAAAAAAATTGTTGTCGCTGCCTTTTTTTGTTCCAAAAAAATATAATAGTTTAAGGAATTTCAAATAAGTTTATTTTTTAACTAGAACGTAATAAAGTGATTTTAAAATTCTCTGCTTTTTTTAATTAAAAATAATCATTTTCAAAAAATACTTTTTAACAGTGTAAAAATTTGAAAACTTTTGTAAAATAACCCTGTACGTATTTAGCGGCATTATTTTCTATAATGCTTTACTTTTTAAATAAAAAAACAACATTTGTCTAAACAAATACATATTTAAGTAACATATAAATTTGTCTTTTTTATAATTGTACTAGTTTCAAATGAAAACCGTTTAGGGAACGTACCCATACTACGTGACCCGTTTAGCGGGAGGGAGGAGTCTTTAAAAGACAGTCACAGCGGG